GACTGAGTTTACAGGAATTGATCTCCTACCAGGGGGACCACTAAGCGACTTAGAATACGCAGATGACATAGTCCTGTTTGGTGAAGACGCTGACAAAATGCAGAGTCTTCTGTTGGAACTGAGTAATAATGCCAGGATGTTTGGGATGCGTTTCTCCCCATCCAAATGTAAATTGTTACTCCAGGACTGGCCTGCGTCAACACTCGAACTAAGGATAGGGAGTGAAGTAGTCGAACGCGTTGACAACTTCACTTATCTTGGAAGTCTGATCAGCCCTAATGGGTTGGTGTCTGACGAAATCTCAGCATGGATTCAAAAAGCTCGTTTGGCTTTTGCCAACTTACGTCACCTATGGCGAAGACGAGATATCCATCTATCAATTAAGGGACGAGTATACTGCGCAGCAGTTCGCTCTGTTCTACTTTACGGCTGCGAAACATGGCCATTAAGAGTAGAAGATACTCGTAGGTTACTAGTATTTGACCACAGATGCCTTAGAAATATTGCTCGCATCTGCTGGGATCACCGAGTAAGTAATAGTGAGGTTAGACGCAGGGTATTAGGTAACGATGGTAAATCAGTTGATGAGGTGATAAATCTTCATCGACTGAGATGGTTGGGCCATGTGTTACGTATGCCTGAACACCGATTACCACGACGCGCTATGATGACTAGTATTGGGGACGGTTGGAAGAGAGTTAGGGGCGGCCAAACCAAAACATGGCATCAGTGTTTGAAGTCACTAACTTCTAGCCTGAGCCATGTTGGCAGATGCAGACTACCTGGTTGGGGTCCGCGTGACTATCGTAATAAATGGTTGGAGACTCTAGGTGACATGGCTCAGAATCGATCACAATGGCGTAGGTGTATACACTCTTTATCTTCCCTTAAACCTTGAGATTAAAATTGCTTCATATCTCTCTTCCTTCCTGTACTATATCCTTCTATACAATCTTTCTTTATATACTACCATCACTTAATTAATTGCTTCTATGAATCCGGTGTTCATCTTGTTGTGCTAAAGAGGTATGGCAACTTGGACCGATGCATATATGTGCCTGGTCCTACGTTGTAGCTGACTGACTGACTGACTGATGGCTCAGAATAGAAGCCAGTGGCGAGCCTGATGTAACTTTCTTCTACTTTCTTCATAAAGAGTGGCTATAACTTTCCTAACTGAGAGAGCTCTTCTGGTTGTACATTCAGTTCCCCCCATCATTACTCTTCTCCCTTTATTTTTTTTACTTCTTTTATATATACGCTTCTTCTTCCTTCTCTCATTCTCATTATTTTGTGTGGCGCATATGTATCCGGTGCCCTTTGTACTAATATATATGTGATTAAATAAATAATAAATTCGGGATCCATTTCTGGACCAACACTATGCGTATATTTTTATCGTATTATTGTCAAATAACAAAACTATTCGTATTCATGTCCGTCTTATTATGAGCCTTATTTTGACCTATGAACTATTATTATGCAATTTACCATTCTTGAGTTATGCACTGCCTGTCAATTACTATCTCCCTTATTCACAGCCACATTTGGCTGAATCTTGTACAAATGTTTCCTGTTTTATGTTACGATGTGGTCTGGCTGGCAGGTATATAAATAAATGATTTATACCGCAGGGACTGAGCTTGGTGTTCTGAACTTAACTGGCTGGGCTAGGCAGGAAGCAGGACCGATAAATACTCTAGACTGCTCGCACGGGTTTAATGCCTCATTGGTTAGATCGATAAATCACTGCTCTCTAATTGGCGGCTACAAGTTATAACAAATTGTCAATGGGAAACCAGTCAGTTAATGCAGAGCTTCACAACATAATGTAAATACTCTCCCTTTAACTCTTCACGGTTAGACAGTGAATTATCAAAATGGACGATTTCGACAAACGTTTTAACAAGTCACCTTTACAAGATGTATGAGTTTAAGTTACTGCATTTTGATAGTTAGTGGTAGAGTTATAATAAATAAACACAAACGGGCATGAAGTATACTTAGGAAAACGTAGAGAGTCGACGCACCTTCACTGGTATGATTGACATGACCAAGTCATTTGAAATTGGAACTTATTATTTCTACGGTCAGTCAGTCAGTTACAACGTAGGACCAGGCACATATATGCATCGGTTCAAGTTACCATACCTCGTTAGCACAACAAGATGAACACCAGATTCATAGTAGTTAATTTAGTGTTGGTAGTAGTATATAAATTATAGGTTGTATATAAGGATATAGTACAGGAAAAAAGAGAGATATGAAGCAATTTTAATATTGAGGTTTAAGGGAAGATAAAGAGTGTGTACACCTACGCCATTGTGATCGATTCTGAGCCATGTCACCCAGAGTCTCCAACCATTGGTTACGATAGTCGCGCGGACCCCAACCAGGTAGTCTGCATCTGCCAACATGGCTCAGACTAGAGGTTAGTGACTTCAAGCACTGATGCCATGTTTTGGTTTGGCCGCCTCTAACTCTCTTCCAACCATCCCCTACACTAGTCAGCATAGCGCGTCGTGGTAATCGGTGTTCAGGCATAAATAACACATGGCCCAACCATCTCAGTCGATGAAGATTCATCACCCCATCAACTGATTTACCATCGTTCCCTAATAACCTCACCATTACTTACCCGGTTATCCCAGCAGATGCGAGCAATATTTCTAAGGCATCTGTGGTCAAATACTAGTAACCTACGAGTATCTTCTACTCTTAATGGCCATGTTTCACAGCCGTAAAGTAGAACAGAGCGAACTGATGCGCAGTATACTCGTCCTTTAATTGATAGACGGATATCTCGTCTTCGCCATAGGTGACGTAAGTTTATTATTTCTACTCAGTCACAGGGTTTTAATCAGGAAACCTGTACTTCCTTACACACATTCTGACTGCACAAACACTATTTAAATGCTATCTAGCCATGGTCAGAGTTGTGTGATAAGTTTTAACAATACGTGTAACTTAGCAAAAAGTAGGTTCACAACCTAACAAGCCGATTGATCTTCCTCGAGCTTTGCATCAAACTTCGACAATGATGATTAGGCGTCGTACGTGATATAACTCAGATTAACGTATTCAGTTTGAATCATGACAGTTGAAATATTTGGTTACTTAAACTAAAACAGGTAGAGGAGAGTTGGTTCCCTAACGAAATGACTGAAACATGGATGACTTTTTCACTATATATTGTATATTGCTGACTAGCGTTAGTCAGTTGTTTCCAAAATTCACTTGATACTTTATTTTCCTATCACTTCACAAGAATACAGAATGTTTTGTCAACCCTATTGCTTTGTCATGAACGACGCACAGTATATTTACTCATCTAAAAACCCTAAGCAAATAAATAACAGAACTGAAAGGTCAGTTAAGGTTTACGAATACTCAAGTATTGGACATGGTACCTAAAAGTGCTTAAAATATACGGGGACTTGCACGAAAACTCAAATGCACTGAGATTCGCATATTAAGAACCACTTTTCTCTTCTCAAGTCAGCGTGCGCGTAGACGCTTACAACTGAGGGCGAAATGAACGACTGCGTAGTCAGGAACTCTAATCTAAGTGGACACCATCCTAAATAAATGAAAATTACATATTAACATGATGATGGTTGGGTCTCGCCTGAAAATTACACTTTCTCTACGAAATCTGAAAGATGTCGACAATTTTTGGATGGGTTGTATGTAATTGCGATCAGAATAAGTACTATATTAGTTCCCTTGAAGCAAAATAACCCCTTTTTTCGGGAAGTGTCTTATCAAAGCTATTAATTTTGTTATAACTCAACTGGTTTAATAACGGTAGACATTTAATCTTTTCTATAGAATATGAAGCACACTTTAGAATACAGAAACAGTTATTCTGTCGCAACGACAAAAAATTTTTTGGAGTACAGAAGCACTAGTCCTCGTATTTAGAGTAGCTTCCAAATGGTTTAGTAAAAAGTCTTTGCATCTAAGGATGTAATAAAGCTTTCACTGTTGGTATTTGTAATTTAGAAAGCCTGAAGATAAACCAATCCTTGACGACGTAAGTATAAATACCTTAACAACAGACTATCGAAAACAGTGAGGAGTGACAAGTTCATACAGCATTTTGTAAACACTCATCGTAAGTCTTGAGGTTTTTCGTAACCGTGACAGTTACATTGATTTTACGGCACTTCCCCTGAGCCTATAATTGGCAAACTAACACTTGAGAAAAACGCTAGTCGCTCTCCACAGATTATGAGATACAATTTACGTGGGGCACCAGTAGCAGCGTATCGAGGTTTCTCACGTCAAATTTGACAAGCTCAGTCAATGCAGTCCAAAAGGACACTTCACGCCAAATATATTGCTCAGCACATCGCCGATTCGTCACAACATATGGTTTCAGAACAATAGCTTAATTCTTTGGAAGTTCATTTACAAGAATCCTTAACGTTCCACGCAATGACAACCAAAAAACCTACAAGTGACCTTCAACTATTGTGTGTTAGAATTTTAGTGGCAAATCAACAACGTTCAGCGTGATTTAGATTTCTGCCCTGAAACCCACTCGCCTCTACAGCCTTAGAAGTATCATTTCTATGGTTTGTTGTGCGTTGATCTACTGTACTGTTGATACTAAGTTATATCACCTACGATCCTCATCATATGATGTGTTTTATTTACAGCACCTTATTTACCGGTCAATGTAATTTAAAGCAACAACCAACCAAATAAATTTCGAAGTGATCGACAGAAATTCGATGTATTTGGGTTCTTTCTCGATCAAGAACAGTTTGAATCAAAAGGGTGACGGCTGGTTGAAAGCGAGCACTGTATGGTAGAGTTATGAGGAAACTAAGTTACTGTGATGTAGTCAATCGATGAGTCTAGCCTAATAAGGGTTCTGTTCCTGCGAAACCTTACGTATGGTGGTCTTATTTCTCAGAAAAATTATGTGAATACTAGAGCTTTAAGACCGATATGTGAGTTGTTAAAATAAATTTGACCAGAAAGAAACGTACCGAAGATTTTAATTTGTAACACCTTGCTGGATTGTATGGCGAGAGAGAGCTCAGACTCATCCTCAATCGTTATAAAGTCCCCATCTGACGGTGAACATAAGAACTTTTCACTTACCTTCGTCTTTATATTTTATCAATAATTCATCTTCCTTTGTTATATACTGTTTGAAGACACGTTGCATCATTAAAATAAGTTCATCATAAGTAATTTCCTCATTATGTATTGGGATTCGTCGCAAGTCATGTCCAAGTTGAGCTTTGATAATAAGTTTCCCAGAGAGATCCATGATGAAACGTTGCAACCTAATGTCCTCTCTACTCCGTGGTAATGATACGTCAGCAGTCAATACCTGGCTTTAACGACCCAGACAGGTGCGGCCACATGTCCAATACTCAATGTACTGTTAAATTCAATAATCCATGTGATTCCGTGAATCTCTATAAATAAAACCTGAATATATGATCGAAATCACCTTCTTCTTTTAACAGAGGGAGAAGTCAAATAAAATTGGGAGAAAATCTTCAAGTGTTGATAAACTATAGTATATTTTTCTTGTAGGATCAAAGAAATGCGACCGGGCCGTATCCAGATCACCTACCAGGCTGAACCTTTTCTACTTTACATTATAGAACACCAAAAGCTTGACAGTTTAACGAAATCGTTGTGATCGATGGTGGTTAAAGCAAATTGATAAGTACACACCATGGACAGGCATATGCGGCAATGGTTCCAATCTGAACTACTCTAATCTGTCTTGCTGATGTGTGAACACGAATAGCCAAGATGACGTAATAGAGAGATTACAATACTAGATTACGTTATACGAGTGATAACAACAGATTTAGTGAATATAGTAAGGTGATTAAAATGAATAAAATGTTTTTGTTAGAATAATTAAAGATCATTAAAGCTCATCGAGGTGTAAAAATTAATAAGGTGATATGATGAGTATTCGTGAATAAAATAATGAGAATATAAGACCTGATTAAGGAAGGATGAGGTTGTAATAATGATAGGACAATAATAATATTAATCAAGACCACTGGAATGGCAATGATAAGACTTACTTTTTTTGTACGTATAGTACTGGTTTAAGTCCGTTGATTGTAAGAGCTTCGGCTATTTTTAAGAGTAAGATACGAAGAAATCTAGGTAGATTTGAACGAATCACATAAACAACCTTAAAATCAAACTGTGAATCCGTAGAATGATTACAGTCGATTGGGTGTTCCATGTGCATCTACCACTTCATATGCTTTTGTGGAGCAAGGTACATTGGCCATAGCCAGGGCTCACTTTCAACTGTGATACGAGAACGTATACCAGTTTGGTTCTACAAGGGTGAAAGGAAAACAGTTAAGAGTTCTATACTTGATCACAAATCTCTCACATCTTTAAGCTCGTCTTCAGACAAGTACTGCCCTTGAGACCATCGACAGCTATTCTAAATTTTACAGATTACTTCAGGTGTAAGACACGCTGCTGAGGCAAAAATGTAGTTACAGACGCCTTGACTCTTGTAAATTCCCTGAACAGTCTCTAAGAAACAGATCTTAAACTTGTCTACCTTCGACGAGGAGACACTGACATTCAGCACGATTTATCTTCGGTAACTCTGAAACTACGGGTCAAACAGATGCGAACAGGTAAGAAAGCTTTACTGTGTGACACATCTACAGTTAGGGATCGTCCAATCGTTCCGAAATGTTGTCAACGCAACGTCTTTATCTCGTCCCCAAAACTTCCTCACCCAGGTGCTCGAGTAACCGTCAAGCTAATAGCAGAACGATTTTGTTGGTCTGGTACGAAAAAAGACGTGAGACAGTGGACACGCTTTCGTGTAAGTCGTCACAAATCTTAGGTGACAACCGTCAGATTAGGTTGCCCATACTCAAGAAATTTAGAGACCGGAATGCACAGGTTGGACGTCCAGATACAGAAGAGAGTCTTTTAGGTGACCGATGGGAACTTGTTGATCACAGGACAGATAATGGGACCGTCTGCTGCGACTGTGCACAGACCACAATCTGTGGATAGTGACATCGGTCAATTAAATAAACAGCACTCATTTATGCCTCTTAAATATTTTACGCGTTTCAAAACCTTTATATAATATTCAAACCTAAATTTTGTAAGCTCGATCATGGTTATCTTCGAAGGATTGCTGACATCCAGTGGCAACACCATGTTAGTAATACAGAGGTTCGGCATCGTGCGTTCAGGCGCTGAGACGATAATCCAATTGGGTCACAATCTTGAAACACCGACTTCAGTTGCTTGGACATGTTCTACGAATGTCGTCTCAGAGAATTCTTCGTCCTGCATTATTTGCCGACTCTGGGACTGAATGGAAAACGCGGAGAGGTGTTCAGTGTATGACATGTTGTCGTGGTATGAAAGAAAGCTGCAAAGGGTTGGGTTCTGTTGGTCCTTCACGACTCCCTGGTTGGGGTCCTAGAGATGGTACGACACAGTGGCTAGAGACGTTATCAGATATGGCTCAGAATAAAAGCGAGTGGCGATAACTTCGTTAACTGAAAGAGATATGGTTGTACATTTCAGTTTCCCACATCTTTACTTTTATTTTTGTTCTTTATTCTTTTAAATTATATCTATCTATCTATCTATCTATCTATCTATCTATATATATATATATATATATATATATATATATATATGCATCTTACCCCTTTTCTCTTCCCATTCTCATTGCTTTGTGTGGCGCACATATATTTGATGCCCCTTTCTACCAATATCTATGTTTAAATGAATAAATAAATAAGGCGTGGGGTAATGACACCAGTCAACCTCTTAAATATTTTACGCGTTTCAAAACCTTTACATAATATTCAAACCTAAATTCTTTAAACTCTAAAATCTTACAATATCGCTATTATATTGAGTTCGTATTTACTGTCAACACAAGTTTCTGTGTGAACGAAAGGTTAAAATAAGTGACATTCCTCGTTCTTGTAGAGCTATGAAGTCAGTAATCTGCGATTTTCGATCTTTGCATGCCTTCCGTTTTGAAAACTTTACTATTTCTTAGTGTAAAAGCTTCACTGTGAATATAGCGTTCCAAATGTATTGCGAACTATGATAGTTATCCGACAAATACGACTTAACTGCTTTCAGTTTCCCACATCTTTACTTTTATTTTTGTTCTTTATTCTTTTAAATTATATCTATCTATCTATCTATCTATATATATATATATATATATATATATATATATATATATATATATGCATCTTACCCCTTTTCTCTTCCCATTCTCATTGCTTTGTGTGGCGCACATATATTTGATGCCCCTTTCTACCAATATCTATGTTTAAATGAATAAATAAATAAGGCGTGGGGTAATGACACCAGTCAACCTCTTAAATATTTTACGCGTTTCAAAACCTTTACATAATATTCAAACCTAAATTCTGTAAACTCTAAAATCTTACAATATCGCTATTATATTGAGTTCGTATTTACTGTCAACACAAGTTTCTGTGTGAACGAAAGGTTAAAATAAGTGACATTCCTCGTTCTTGTAGAGCTATGAAGTCAGTAATCTGCGATTTTCGATCTTTGCATGCCTTCCGTTTTGAAAACTTTACTATTTCTTAGTGTAAAAGCTTCACTGTGAATATAGCGTTCCAAATGTATTGCGAACTATGATAGTTATCCGACAAATACGACTTAACTGCTTTCAGTTTCCCACATCTTTACTTTTATTTTTGTTCTTTATTCTTTTAAATTATATCTATCTATCTATCTATATATATATATATATATATATATATGTATCTATCTATATATATATATGTATATATATATATATATATATATTTATGCATCTTACCCCTTTTCTCTTCCCATTCTCATTGCTTTGTGTGGTGCATATATATTTATTATTATTATTCACAAACACCTTATGGGTACATAAGTGCTGTGAAGAAACCATTTCGGGTTTCTTCAAAAATGTAATAATACACAATTTTCAGTAATGTTAACAATAAATATGCCATGTTTGAGAAAGGAAGGAAAAGTAAAATATTAATAATAGAATAGTAATAATAAATGAGGTTCTGTGTAATTAGCAAGAATTTTGAATTTATTTTGAAGGAGGAAAGGAAGAAACTAAGGAAATAGAAATAAAGGAGACGCGGGAGACGTAAATATCTTAACGCAGAACAAGAATAAACAACTATGTATGTATAGCAAAAACGAGTAATAAAAATGAAATAAAACAGAATAAATTAATAAGTAAATAACTTATTATTGCGGTAAGATATGACGTTAGAATAAGTGTTTGTGCGAGCACAGTCATAGTTTTGGGTGATGCTATGAAAGTTTCAATTAAGTGCAAAAGATAATCAATGTGTATGAGGTGTGTATACATAGTGAAGATAAAAAGAGACTGATAAGTTTTGATGCCCCTTTCTACCAATATCTATGTTTAAATGAATAAATAAATAAGGCGTGGGGTAATGACACCAGTCAACCTCTTAAATATTTTACGCGTTTCAAAACCTTTACATAATATTCAAACCTAAATTCTGTAAACTCTAAAATCTTACAATATCGCTATTATATTGAGTTCGTATTTACTGTCAACACAAGTTTCTGTGTGAACGAAAGGTTAAAATAAGTGACATTCCTCGTTCTTGTAGAGCTATGAAGTCAGTAATCTGCGATTTTCGATCTTTGCATGCCTTCCGTTTTGAAAACTTTACTATTTCTTAGTGTAAAAGCTTCACTGTGAATATAGCGTTCCAAATGTATTGCGAACTATGATAGTTATCCGACAAATACGACTTAACTGCTATTGGTACGTATTATTGTTCAAATATTTAATTTCAGAATCGGACTGGTTGCGCGCAAAACAAAGCATAAAACACCAATGGGAGTTTTTTCTATCAGTTTATATTGTTTTTCGTCAAATGCTTTTGATTCCCCTTTATGACTATCTGCTTCGTATATCTACTGTCTGAATAAACTAAGAATAAGTGCTAAACCATACACTTTCAAACTTCTATCGTGTTCGTCGTCCAATTAAAAGTTACAGTTCATTTCCCGTTAGGCTTCCAGCTAATATCCCTTTCTTTTCCGACTGTTCAGGAAAATGGACAATAATGTCTGATATTTCTGTGAAAGAAATATAGTATTTCATAAGAAACGCGCTTTCCACGTCAGTCACCTCCCATCTACTTCAGTATAGGACTTCTTGGTCGTAGGGATTGGTTTTATACCTAGATATTTTTGTTTCTTGGTTTAAATGATAGTATGCTAGGTCCGCTCAACAACACTATTCTTTGTGTGAATGTGCCGCTAGCTTAAAAGTAACAAATACTCCCATAATTTATAAAAGACTATTGGTTGTCTCCTATGTGGTTGTTACACTTCTGCAGGTGGCTCGTAAATAAGTACCTGAACCTTATTGATTGAATCACACCTAAACTGGGATAACTATCTCAGTCACCAAACCTTAACATTAATTCAGATTTCTAAACAGAAGGCTCGAATTTTTCCAGCACAAATTCTTTCATTTTTGATGGGTTTTGTTAATGGTTTTTTTTTCAATTTTCATAGTTGTTAACAAACCTGAAATATTACAATGTACTGCTCCATTTAAAAACAGAAAAGACGATGAAGCTAAAAAACTCGAATCAGGAGATACGTTATCTTTAGTTTACGAACTTCAACGGCTTGGTAACCACATCCTAAACGTTGCTGATCGTATGCAAAAGACGTTTTCTGCCAACAACTCTATGGACATAGCTCTCACTAACTGTAATCGACCTGAGATAGTAAACAAAAGAGGCGTAAGTATTATCTTGCATCCATTTTCCACTCAGAAAGATTGTTATTTTTCAATTGATCATGGTTAACACTTGGTAGCAATTTACTGAGACGTATACGAGTCTAAACTGCTATTCATATTTACTTGCTGTTGTCCCTTGCCTGCACCACCTTTTCGTTGCTGTACTTTTGATGCTTTCGGTAGAATCATCATGTCCCCACGTTTCTAAACCTACAGTCAGAATACCAGAAAACCGATCGAATAGTCACGAGCAATTTCATTACATGCACCCATAACTCACGATAATATGTTTAGGTGAAATATCAAGACAACCCTAAATAATAAGTTTTATTGCGTACACAACTAGGATATTTGCAGTCCCAAACCGTGCAATAGATTCTTAGTTGATTGATAGCAATCTATGAGCGGCAAAAGTGACAACGTTAGTCAATAGGTCAAAAATAGCTTGCTGTCCGGACTACACAAAAGTCCCACAAACTAAATTTTTAATAAATACAAATTAGTGGTTTATTAGCTTATCGAAAAACAAATCAAATTTCCTTTTATTCTTGTTCCATCCTATCAACTGTTATATGTAATGTTTAAGTGGTAACTTACGAATTTTGGCGTCCTTACAATGCGAAAGCTGACAATAATATCATATCGATGCAGTAGTATTTTGTAGAGTTCAAAATGTGTTGAGAAATGACATGGTGATCATTTTATTGGTACGTAATGAAATAGGTTATTCAGTTCATATAATTCCTGAATACCTATTCATAACCAATAAATTTTCAATATTGTATGAAACACCACGGGGCATAAAGAGAAATAGTTAACGTTGCAAGTTACAACCTCATCAAATCTAGATTCTGCAGCTTTCTGATCGAAGATCTCCATGAGTAGTATTGAACACTACATTTATGTAACTCTTGATTATTGTGCAGCTTCTGTATATTACAGTCTGAATAACGTTGAACAAACCACTTGATTGTTTTAAAAGATTCAGCGGGAAACACCTTTATGCTCATCCAATTCCTAAGTCATTAATGTATCTGTACAGTGTCGTTAACTCAAATATGTCCTTCTACGCCTAATTTAGAAAATGATTATATTTTTCTCTTTTGTCACAGCCAATATGCAACCCGGAGAGTAACAAGGAATTCGATCCGTTATCTAATGTTCGGTCTACAGATGTTACAATCTCTTCTCCGAATCCACCCATCTACTTGTCATCAGTCAACAGTTCAGATGACATTTCGAAATCAGAATCTTGTGTACGTGTAGATAGTAGTGATTTTAGCATGATTTTTAATTCACACAAGACGCGTGACTGTGCTTCTCTGTATTGTGGTTAACTTGCGACTAAAACCTAAAATTAGCCTTTCATTGATCACGTCGATCTGGGTAACCGGAAGTTACCAGCCAATCACATAACACAATTAAACTTTAGTTAAAATAATGAGTAGAATTTTGACATGTGTTGTTCACCCTAATTACTATTTCAAAAATCACCTCAACATCAGTGAAAGTCGTCACTTTGAAGTAGATCCTGTCATAAGCAATATATGGCAAATTTCTTGAGTATATTAGTCATTTTGATTGAATATAGACTAATTTTATTATAACAACTGTTTGATAACAAGTAAACTAATCACAACATCGTTTGGAAATTACCTTATACCCACCATATTTTACATATTATGATCTTTAGATCCTATATATCCTCAGGATCTGCTAGTGTAACTTTCAATGTAGGTTCCCATGAAATCGGGAAAGCTAGGTGAAAAGGTCGAACCACAGTTAATCTCTCTATTAATCTGTCAGTTAACTTTTGTGGTCAAGACCACAAACGTAATCACATGAATTGTCTCCACACAGTTAGATGTCAGAAGTTGGAGTAGATGTAGTAGATCGATCCATCAATTTTTCCCCTCAATAAGATGAATAGGATACGTAATAGATGTTTTCACCTACCTCCTCTAAATTTCTGTGTTGGTTAGTGTAGCGGTAGTGACATCATGATGTATCAGGTATCCATGGATTCTTCGACAGTTGATTTAGACCGTACATGGAGGTGGAGGCCTTCTACTTGGTCCTTACAGGCTTTTCAATATATTTTTTACGTAATAGAATCCTAAATCGATTGTGGTTATCTACATACTGTCATTCCTTATAATCTCCAAAATCTTAGACAATGTCATCCCCATATTTCCCACTCTATTGTTTCGACCTGTATCCTTCATGTTTAATTTACTACTATAATTAATATTGTTGTTTCGAATTCTTTCTGTTAGTCCCCACTCTCTGTGATGCACTTTTGAGTCTAGGTTTTATGTTTGTCCCTACTATTTTTATGCAACTTGATTCAATTATGCTGTTTACTTTATGAACATCAGTCCACCCATCACATTCTCTTTTTGCCTCTAGGAATTCTACTCAGAAGTATTTGTATAATTAAGTGATATTTTAAAGACTATTGACAAAGTCTTAAAATAAACGCTACAGCTTGATAACGTATTACTAGTTAAACCAGATTTCTTTTTACATTTTATATAAATATTTGACTGGACATTTCCAACAAAATCATCTTCCTAACTAAACACAAGAGTTGAAAAATTCAAAAGAGAACGCTGAATGATCATTAGTCAAAGAGCAAGTAAAGGAGTAAAATTATTAGGGTAAGAGCACTCTGAAAAACTTGTGGTTTGATAATTACAGTTGAAACAGAATGTACTCGACATGTATCATCACTAATGTGTAAAATTTATTTTAAAATATAAGGTAATCCTGTTTACTTGCCGAACGTTGCTTAAGGTTGTCTCCTATATAGTGTGATTGCAGACCTTTATTCCCCATATTTTCATCCTGTCATCTTAACACGTCATAGGATGGTTTAGTTTATTGCAGATCAAACAAAAACATTTCAGTACTTTTGTGCATCAGACACCTTGTTCTCACTTGATAAAATGTAACTTTTTGTATGTTCTAAAATAAACTACTAACTATTTCAGGAAAATTACATGGTTTCCAAATCAACTTTCTCAACAGCTGGGTCGTTAGATAACGAGGGGCTAAATTCGTCTAAAAAATCTGCTGATCATGACCCTATAGATCTCCAAGCACCTACTACATTTAGTCATTCTAATGCAGAAGCGGTCCCATCGGCAGTGCTTAATAGTAGTTCTACACTCTCCACTACGATACTGCCGTCTCAGGGTCAACCGTTGACACCAAATACTCAGATAATATCATCATTTTATCAACAACCTTCAGGACATCAAAACCATCTTCCCACCCAGTCTCAAGTACAACCCTCAATACCTCTATCCTCTCAAAACTCAGCACAACCTAAAGTTGATTGCAATGATACTCCTAGGATGCCTAACACATCAACTCCGACGTTACAACAGCATAGTACGCCATCTTTCAGGGTACGTCATTTTAGTGTTTTTTGTGAACATCATACCGTTCAGTTCAATTTGTAAACAATTAAACAGAAGGCTTTTCGGTTCTGAAGCTCTTATATCACCTGTCAGATTTCGTTTTAGCGGGTCCTTAATAAAAATCCAGAATATTTTACATTTTCTGACTAGGGTGGTTTAGTAGTCACGGCGTTCAACTTCCAAGCCCTACGTTATTATTTCGAATTCCGCTGTGTAGTTCATTTTCGGCTGCTCAGTTAATTAGTATCAGTTACTTAATTATTCTTACCGTGGTCTTACCACGTAAGAAGTATCAACGTCGAGATATTGCAATAATGCAATGTTGCACCTAAATCCATGAAATTAAAGAAAATAAAAACATGTTTAGATCAGTCTTGGTCATTCCATTTCACACTCATATTGGCGTCAGATACAGTTTAGAAAATATCAGTAACATGGAAATAAAACAATTAACTAAATGGAAATAATTATTACCTGATATAATCCGATCATTATAATCTAAATATTATCTGAACAATTACATGTTTAACATTACATTCAATTATATGTCAAGAAAAATTTGCTTTGTAAATAACTTCGTTTGTTTACGTGTAGAAGGCAGTATTATAATGTAGGGATATCTTACGAATAAGACTTTCCTTCGGTGAATGTGTCGCGGACACGCGTTGTTTATGTGTTCTGCGCTGAGACGAAACGGCCAGTGAATGCTGTTTGGTTTTTATTGGTGGTCTGACATTGTTCAGTTCATGATCTTAATCAAGATGTTTACAAAATCCACAAGCCTCTACTGATAATTTTATTCGATGCTCGGAAAGAACTCACTTTTGCATTTTTGAAATCCCGACACGTTTTAGTCGGTACAGTCGTGGTAGTTAGTAGCGTTTCTAAGGGTAGGAGTTGGATGTTTTTACTAATTCCGTGAGTAATGTTCAGACCGCTAGCAAAACCAATTTATCACGTCTTTAGAAATGGATCGCATTCGTGATTTAGCATTTGACAGAAAGTTACTTGTGTAGTTACCACAGTAGATTCGAACTTAGACTTTCCAAAAATAAGTGAATTCACTTTGGACCCCGACAAACGGCGCTTGACATTTCAAGTAACATTTAATTACATCGCAAATAAATAACACCGCGATAATGGAGTAGGTAGACTTATTTCTCAAGCGTTCCTCGAAGAGAAGCGTGCACTCCCACTGGAATTAGACTTCCTATCAACTTTACATCCATATCCTTTGAGAGTTTCATTGATACCTCATGTATTTATTCCTTGAGCCTTTTGCGTTCATCTTCAGGTAGTTCATAAGACATGTGTCTTAAATTGAATACTTCATTGGATTTCTGGTAATCTTGACTTAATTACATCAACTTAATTTAATGTGGGACGTTTGAAAGAACGATAGTTAGGATGTATATAGTTTTAAAGATTAAACAATTTACTTCTCAATATCTGAATTTTTTATATCCTAGTGAAGAAGTAAGTACGGATAACTTCCGGGACCTATTAGTGGACTATTATTCTATATATATTCCTATTGTATAACTATTCAGTAACTAGATTATATATATATATCTATATTCATCATATTATAAGCTTCATTTTGACTTATTGATTATTATTATTCTACGATTTACTGTTCCTAAATTATATTCAGTTTATTGATTACTGTCTCCCATGTTCACAGCCACATTTGGCTTGATCTTTTGCAAACATTGTATTTTATTTTATGGTGTAATGTGGTCTGTCCGTTTGGTATATATACACAATGTGCTTGAAATAAATTATTCACTTAGCAGAAGCTGCAATTGGTGTTCTGGACTTAATTGGACGGGCTAGGCGGACAAAGAACCAATAAGGACGCTCGACTGCTCGTACCAGTTCAACGTCATCGATTTGTCACAGTGTTAAGATCGAGAAAGTCGTATTTCGATTGGTGGATGATTCACATGATAAAAGTCGGACATAAAATCACTAACGAATTAGCATACATCCTTTGCTTTTTGTAAAGTCACAACAATTGGCGACGGGGATTTTCTGCAAAAAAACCCAACAGTCGGTGACGTGATTTTGAAGATAAATAATTCATAATAATTGCCGGTTGTTTTTTGGAGTTTGTGTTATTATTATTGGCAGTAAAAAATGGCAGTATCACCAGAACAGTTGCATCTAATATTACAGCAGCAGCAGATGTTAGCTTCTTAATAGCAACTCCTGGAAGCACTTTTGGGGGAAAGGTATATTCAATAAGGTAATCTGGAACATAAAGGTGTAGAGTCATATCTTAATCCAATCCCAGAATTCATTTTTGATGCAGACAGTGGTCACACGTTTAAAGAATAGTTCGGCAGAATTGAAGATATTTTTCGGGTGGAATTTGCTGTTATGGATAATACGAAGAAAATCCGTCCGCTGTTACAGAAGTTTGGTCCTAAGGAACATCAAAAGTATAAAAACCATATCTTGCCTAGACATCCATGAGAAGTTAACTTCGATGAAACTCCCAAAATTTTAAATAAAATGTTCTGTGGACAGAGGTCTCTCTTTCGTATCCGGTATAACTGTTTGCAGCTGACTAAAGAATCTGATAAAGATTATACTACGTATGCCGGAAGAGTAAATTTACAAGCGGAACGATTGAAATTAAATGTATTAACCAGTAATCAATTTAAATGCTTATTACTTATTTCTGGTCTGAATTCTCCCAGCGATGCTGATTTTCGCATGAAGTTATTACCCCGTATGGAACATGATGAAGAAATGACACTACAAACTGTTACTGGTGAGTGTCAACGAATAATAAACTTAAAACAGGATTCGCCTATGTTGGAAACCACAAGCGCTGCACCATCTAATCATTCTGTCCATGCTGTTAAGACAAGTCAACGACAAAAGAGTGCCAAAAGTTATCAATATCACACGAAAATTCCTAAACCTTCAACTAGATGTTGGTATTGTGGTGCGTCGCACTCCTCAAGATTTTGTTGCTTTAGAAATTATTTATACACTGTGTGCAATAAAGTTGGTCATAAAGTAGCAGTTTGTCGAACTAGAGAAAGTTTGAGATCAAAGCCAACGAAGCGTCCTCACCAATATCAAAACAAATATATAAACAGTATATATTCTACACTGGCTCTAAGCATAGCAGATAAAAGAAGGTATATGAAATTAATGGTTAATGGTGTTCATGTTCGATTGCAATTGGATACAACATCAGATTTCACATTAAACTCTAAACGGACATGGAATTTAATTGGTTGTCCGCGAGTATTACTAACTCAGCACACTGCACGGAATGCATCCGGAGATATATTAAAGCTTGTTGGAATCATTAAAAATGCTCTGTAAAATTCCGAGATTACTACTTTACAGGGAATTGTTGTTTAACGAACAGGCATGATTTAGAACTTATCTGTATAGATTGGATAGATAAACTAAATCTATGGGATGTACCATTAAGAGAAATATGCACGATGAAATGTGCAAATAGTCCTAGAGATCTGCCCATAGATCATGTAACTAAGAAAGCTATAACGATAGAAGACCTCTTGCAAAAACGTATGAACTTGTTCTAGAATATGTTGGGATGCTGTACCATTGGAAAGGTAAACTTATACTTACGACAGGATGTAAAACCTGTTTCTTGTCCAAAACATCAAGTTCCATATGTGGCTATCGATACATTTGGCAAAGAACTAGAACGACTAGAGAAACACGGTGTTATACAACCCATTAATTATTCCTCATGGGCAGCACTTATTGTATTAGTTCAGAAAGCTAAGGGAGCTATTCAGTGACACAATGGGTTTCTTTCGTCATTCCTAGTCTACCTCCAACCTATTATCCACAGTTTACCACATTCGGACACTGTCGGCCCTATCTTGTAAAATTTCTTTCATTTTATGCTCTGATACCGTCTGGTCTGCTTGTGTATAAGCAACGTACATTTGAAATGTTATATTCATACAAGGGGGCTGACTTTTATGTTCTAGACTCCAGTGGAAGGGAAAATAAAGAAGGCACCATATCAAGGACCGATAAGGATTTGGGGTTGACTAAGGGATACTAGTGCTGGTTGGCTTAAAACTTGTAAGGTCGGAGACAAGGCCAAATAAATCAATATTTTGGCTCGTAGTTTTGGTCACATGATACCAGACAGGACAATAGGTTATAGCAGTCAAAATAACCAATCATTTAATCACTTCAAGAGAGTTAACAGTTTTCGCCTTCCTTTCATTATTGAATGTGTACAGGAGACTGAGCTTATAGCCGATGAGCAGAAAGAAAAGTCAAATCTTTTTAATTAAACTTTTGCTACTGTCGAGGCTATTGAACAGCTAAGAAAATTAACTGAGTAATCAACCATATGAAGATACCCGGGTCTTCATTCCACACTGGCGTCAGTTAAAGAAGCTCCGAATAATCTGATAAGTGGAGTCCTTTGACAACAAATCAAAAACGTACAGTTTCCATAGAATTAATGTACTTTACCTGAACGGGAATCATTCACTTTGAGCATAGCCATTACATATTCCGACACGTAGAAAGGCATGACTTTTGCATCTTGCACGAACTATAAATCACTAGCAAATGATTCAAATAACGAACCTAATAATTATTCGTTCATCTGACTTTTAATCTCGGCATAGTTGTCATGTTTGATGTTTCGAACGTACGAAAGATCAGTAATCAGATACACTCCAGCAAGCGAACCTAAATACTTTTCAAAAATTTACAACCAAGTTTAAAAGCTAAAGGGTAAAGCTAAAAAGACGATCAAAAGGTAAACATTTTTAACCCTGAACGGTAGTTTCATACTAAAACAGTTACCGTAGTAATTGTGAGCTTTAAATAGAACTGCTTAATCAGATAAGCTTAGACTTATGTTACTATTCGGTTGTCTCATGCTCTCCTAAGACCTAAGGAAGTGTCTTGAATGGTAGATTTTCAATTTGTTTATCGCGTTAATGCTTCAACTCACTTCGTCTCAAGTCTCGGTTATTATCTCAAAGATTCATATTCGTTCTAAAATGTGGTGCAAGTATTATAAGTTTCAAAATGTGAGTTGATGTAGATCTGAAGTGATAACAGGAATAAATCAGGAGCCAATAACTTTATACATAATAACGAAGTGAAGTATAGTGTCAACCTTATATGGGTCTCGTAGATGGTTGCTTATGATGTTCAGGTTTTCTATTAACAACAAATCTTGAATACATTCTACCATAGTTCTAGATTGAAGATTACCACAGCGGAAGCAGAAGGCCTGTTGCTTTTCTTCGATACAAAAGAGTATCTTTACTATATATAAAACCAACAATCTATAAGCTATGGTGATTTAGTACTGAACTTGTACTTTTAAAAAAAGTTTCTGAACATCACATCTTTTTTTATTGGATATTACTCAGTTTTTTGTGTTTTAGATTACTGAGATCAGAGCTGACGTATATATAATGTACATTGAAGAACCTATAGCTGGGTACCTGTGTGTTGGATATTGAAAACTGAATTCTTTGTTTGTTGACTTCACTTTCTGACTTATTTGATGCCTTCATTGACTCTAGCTCATGTAGGATTATTGTGATGTATTGTATAGTGCTGTTCTGCTCATCTCGGTCATCCCAATAAATATCTCTTTCAAAGTCAAGAATGGTTATTGGCTGTTGCACACTAAATAATATTTCGGAAGATGCCAAAACGCGAAGCGATGCAAATAAACAGATTGAGAAATTAATTGAAAAGGAGAAAAAGAATTTCAAGTCTACACATAGACTGCTCCTTCTGGGTATGCTTGATAAAATAAGGTTGATTTAAACTTCGATAGGTGCTGGAGAATCTGGGAAGTCGACCATTGTTAAACAAATGAGGATATTGCACATAGATGGTTTTTCAGAACGGTAATTTTTGATTTGCCCTTGTTATGATACGCTAGAGAAAAAAAGGAAAAGATTGATGCGATCCGAAAAAACCTCCGTGACGCTATTTGTGTAAGTTTTCTCTTACCACTTGAGTTTGTCAGTCGATAGCTGGCGCTATGAGTTCTTTGAAACCACCAGTGAAGCTTGAACTCAATGAAAACAAAAAGCTAAGGGATTATATTCTGGAAACTGCATCTAAACCTGACTTCGACTATCCGCCGGTACTAATTTATTATGTAGTACATTTGTCTAGGAGTTTTTCACATATTGCGCCAAATTATGGAAGGATGGAGGTATACAGGAAACGTTCGAAAGATCAAATGAATATCAACTAATCGACTGTGCAAAGTAGTATGTTGTAGCTTTCTTAATGTTTGCCAGTTTCCTTGATAAGGCTTTAGAGGTCGGCGCTCCAAACTACATCCCATCTGAACAGGATATTCTGCGCTGTCGTGTACTAACTTCCGGAATATTTGAAACCAAGTTCAGCGTGGATAAAGTTAATTTCCATATGTTTGACGTCGGCGGGCAGAGGGAAGAGCGCCGAAAGTGGATACAATGCTTTAACGATGTCACTGCCATCATTTTTGTCGCTGCCTGTTCGTCGTACAACATGGTCTTACGAGAAGATCCTAGCCAAAACCGTGTAAAGGAGTCTTTAGAACTTCTTGCTTCCATATGGAACAACAGGTTTGTCTGTATAACGTCTTCAGGTCCTGTGCTTTTTATTAGCATTCTAACTGATCCATAATTATAAGGAAAATTAATTTTCCATTGGTTTGTTAATTATTCATATCTCTTAAGACGCAAGATTCGATTTCCGAAAGACCTAGCTAAGTGAAGTTCTCTGCTAACTGTAGTGGGTTTCCGCGTTTGCTCAGATTTTCATAGGGTAGTTGTTCCCTTAGTAATGATCAAAGTTAATGGTAAAATATTCCGAAGTCCTAATTCCTAAATAACATTACCCAAAACTGGTCTTATCAAACAATGTGCGGTTGCTTATAATTTAGCTAAGGTACAAATGGTAGTCGCCCCACTCCAAAATGCCTCAACTTCCTGGTTATACACTAGCTACTTCTTTGCTCGAAAGTATGTTTCCTATGTTTTTGGTAGATATCTGTGCTGGTGTATTAAAAGCACTCGAATATGTCTGTTTATTCTTTGATTCAAACTATTTTATCATCCCTATCCTGTTGATGGTTTTACTTTTAGCTTTCATTTTTCCAACACAGCTCCTTTGGTTCCTCTCTGTTTTTTTCCTAGTTTGAATATTTTGGCCCAAATTAATAGACAAATATGCTAGGTCCAGTGTTTGCACACTTGTATTCTGTACGCAATCCACTTATATTCGATGAAACAGTTACTTAGGTAACGGCAAGGCAATATTTTTAAAAAGGCCACACTGAAATATTGAGAACATAAGCTGGTCGATGTTAGACCATCATTCAAAACCTGAAAGCATTGAATGGTCGTCTCGACCTACCTCCGTTGGATGCCTGCTCAGCTGTGTAGAGGTTGGGCGTTCGTGCAACACCGAAGATCCTAGGCTCGAGTCCCGCGTGCAGCTTTGTGGACGCGCATTACCGAAAAGTTATACACCGGGATGTAACCGCCATCAAGTGCTTCCAGATATTGGCTAACAGTCGTTCTTAGTTCCATGTGATCTTCAGTCGTAAGAATGCCACGCTCACTTTGTCAATTAATGCCTTCACGCCTGCGTCAAATCCTCTTTGTTCATCAGTGTTGCTTCTCAGGTGCATGGAAGCGTCCACCTCTTCCAGTGCTCCGTCGAGTGTAATTTGGTTGGTGCTCACTGTGCTGTATTTCAGGATCTTGCTTTCACCATTCTGGACGTTGAGACCTACTACTACGGAAACGACAGTGGCACTGTATATTGACGCTCAAGCGTCCTATCAAAATGTGTCAGGTGTCTTCCTGGGAATTTCTATAAGATAAACTACAGCCCCTTGTAAAGATTGTCTTTGTCATATTCGCCGCTGTTTTGAAGGGTGTCATGATGATCCTGATGCCGTTAGTTTTCCATCCTATAAGAGCTTTTGTGCTTTTTTGGACGGTATCAGTGCAATTCGTTGTGTATGTGGTGCACTTTCTTCTTCGTGATCGAAATACAACATCATCTTTCCTGAAATTAGTCTTTTTTGTCCACATTATGTCTAATAGGATTCATGCATTTCAAACAGCACAAGATTATATCTTATTTTCGCCGTTTTTATGGTTCTCTGAGTCTTCCACATTGTGTAGATAATCCTTGATCCTATATTAGTTTTTGCTCTGTTTTTCGGAAGAGGCATCGGCTTCGTGGCTTTGCAAGAATCTCGCCTTTCATCTTGAAGCATGAAAATGGTTTATATGGAAACCCTTGAACTGAGATAGATTAATTTAATGACTGTTTTGCAATTTTTGTGCAAGGTTCTTTAACAGAATGGGTTATATAACCGCATAATACACTGTCGGTGAACTGATAGGATCTGATAGAAATGAAGTAATGACTTGTCATTATAACAAAGTTATTTCTTTAACCCGACTTGTAATAATTTAAATTTTTTCTACAGCATCCTGTTCACCGGACTGTAGTTTATCTCGCGGAAAATGCTATATTTCTTTGATAATTTTGGTAATAAGAAGAGAGACAAACGTATCTCCAGTTATTTTTACTTCAGCTAACTAGCAGCGTATTTTTTCTCGTATTATCTTTGTAGATGGTTGCGAAACATATCTGTGATTCTCTTTCTTAACAAGCAAGATTTACTTACGGAGAAGGTTTTAGCTGGCAAGTCCAAGATTGAAGTTTATTTCCCGCATTATGCTACTTACCAAGCTCCAGCTGATAGTAAGCTTTATGGGACAGTGTTTTAGTTCTTTCTTCAATTTTTACCGTTTTGGTATGTTTGTACTGTTAGTTTATCGAAAGCTCGAAAGATATATGTGACTAAAAATTTTCATATTTTACTGGAAAATATTTTATTTTGAAACTGCATTATGAAACATGTTTTTTTGCAGATTGTAACCATGAACGAAATTATTCATCTTTGCTTCATTTGAATGCCTCGTAAATGCTAAAACTAAGTCATTACATAACCTTTACTGTTTCATTTAGGTTTCCCGTTGTTTTTCTTTCACTAGGTAATAATGTTGCGTATAAGGTAATAGTTGTTCAACCTGCATATTATTAGTGTATATTTTAATATGATGTCCTGGAAAGGATTTGTTATTTTCAACTATTTCCGTGGCTAGAATGGTGGCATGTCATTTTCCTGAGAAGTGACAACTTTTTCTGAACAAACAATAAGGAGCCTTGGTATTGCAAAGTACCAGACAAATAAAATGGTCTGATTACGATTTATTGTATTTGATTACAACAGTAAATGTCTGCAGTAAGTGTTCAATGTGTTGCTAAACAATTTTAGGGAGTTATTCTTAACTATAATTATTCTACGTTATGGACGTTGTAACTAGAATTGTAACTCACATATAAAGTAGGAATTCATGCCCTACGACTTTGATTCTTACTAGCTGAGCGTGGGCTGTTTCCCAAACCAAAGTAGATGGAGAAGATTCGAGCATGCGAAATATAGACTGAAAGCCAAGTGCTTTAACAGCCAGGTTACCATTCCACTATATGAGTATAGAGGGCAAACGTTTGATTAATAATAAGTAATTTCCAATTATTTGAATCCTCTTTCATCTCATTTACCCTTCACTTCAGTAATAATCATAAAGATTTCATGTTCCTGGTATCAGGTATCAAGTTTATTCATGTCAGGTTTTGAAAATTGCTCTGACAAAGTAATTTCAATCATGGACTTACTAAACCTTATTATTGAAAATATTAGGTTTCTAATGTACCATTAGTTACTCTACAAGCTGATGTATTTATATAGAAAACTATAGCCCGAAACGTTGATTGTCTACAAATCTATATTGTCTTTTCGAATCACATATCCCTAATCTTTCTTGCTGCTTCTCGTACTTAGAGATTTGTCTTGACAGTTTCATCTCGCTGTGCTAGTGTAGTGTGATTAGTTTAACTGATGCAAAAATGTCTCAGGTCCTACGTTAAATTTGACTGACCAACAGCTATCTTGGGATTGTTGGTCCGTGTTTACAAATCATGTTGTTTTTGAAGTAAAAATTACGGGGAGCAAAAGGTCATTTAGTTTTATCATTTCACCTTTCGATAGTTTTACAACAATAATATTTCCAAATATCTATGCGAACATTGCTTCTTCTCACTTATGGAAACCAACTTCATCATTTCGACTAACAAACTTATATTGGTAATGTTGGGTCAGTTTTTTACTGTCATTATGATTTGTGGCCATGAACAGCTTTTTCACTTTTTTTAGGAGGTCTTATAGTCTACCTAAGTATGAGGAAGTTCGTCTTAATGTTTTTATCTATTCATTCATGACAGAGACATTGTATTACTTTCATAATTTGGGGACGTCATATTCTTTTAACTTGGTAAGTGTATTAAATTTTTATCGTGGTTGCATAAATTTATAGCTTATCATCAAGATATTTTAAGTATCGTTCTCTCTTGTACAGCACTAGCAGAGTATCGTCATGAAAACTCAGAAGTTGTACGTGCCCGATTTTTCTTCCGTGATGAATTTCTTGTAAGTCGCTCTGATTTTTTACTAATCTACAAATTAAGACCCCAATAGTCTTTATGATTATTTTACTTTATTCATCTGTAGTTTTTCACTAATTGATCATAACTTGAAAACTACCCACGCGTCATTAAAGTTCAGTAATTCACATCTAAGTTTTCTGGATGTAAAGTCAGTTGTTTCATTCTAATATATGCGATTTTGACCACTCAGTTAAACTTTCATATTAATTTTTGAAAGTTTTTTCAAAATTATTGTAACTTCATGATAATGTCTATATTTTACTTTTATGCTTCTAGAAAGTAACATCAAATAACAATGGTGGACGTCATTATTGTTATCCTCACTTAACGTGTGCAGTTGATACGGAAAATATCCGACGCGTATTCAATGATTGTCGTGATATCATTCAGCGAATGCACCTGCGGCAGTATGAATTACTCTAGGAACACTTTTTGTAGGCCCCAAATCTGATTTTCGTTCTTCCATAGTATTTTTTGAGGGTATACTGTGTTAAGCCCCCAACGCTTGTGAATACCATCTCATAATTAATTATGATTAATGTTATCCAGTGCATCGAATCTAGTTGAATATTTTACTCCCTTTATAAACCTACCTATTTATGCTAAATTGCATTTGAAGACCAAGCACTGCAAAACCAACCCACAGGTTTGAAGATTTAGATGTCTTTTTAAAAATGTAAAACGGGATGCAAACAATATCACGTTTTCAAAATCATATTTGTAATACACCATCTCAGATATTCGTATATTTATCTGAATCTCTAACTTATCGATTAAATTTTAATTTTTCAATCCTTTTATTTTAATAATGTCACCATTACTGCTTTATTTCTTTTGGTATTCTTAAGCTTTGAGAGCATACTCTTCTGCCGAATTCACTGTTGATCAGAATTTTTTAACTTCCTCTGTTTGGATGTCCATACGCTCGTTATTTTTTCCACCTCTGTCTTAGTTTTATCACCGTAATATGCGATTGTAATGTATTTCGATCGGTAAATATGCTCGTGTTTGCAAATTTGTTAAGTTGACGTGCCATTGTGTTTACTTCCCTTGGGTGCGTACACAGTAATATTTTATAATGAGTAGTATCCAGTTTCACATGTTTGATTAAGAAATACCGTAAGCAAGTTATATGCAAACATATGACTTGATCATATATTTCGAATTGTAAACTTGTTTTGTTTTCAGTGAATAACTCCTGTCTTTCTTCCTAGTTTCAATTCTTAGCAGTGAAACACGCTACCATGTAGTTTTGCTATCCCGAAATTTCCCCTCTCTCTGATTTGCCTAAGTTCTGTGTTTTCTGAATTTATATTACTTGTTTTCCGGTTTATTTAACTTCAATGAATGCCTCATGTTCTTGGGTTTTTATTCTTAACTGTAGAACACACAACGCTGTTGTATTCAAAATCCCGTCTACTAATGAACTTTGTGTTCACGTTGTGATAGCTTTCTCTACTGAAAGTGGACGGGATATTGCTTCACTTTTTATTCAGTTTGAGTGGTTAGATATTCCTCCCGCACTCCTGTTCTCTGTACAGCCACACTTTCATGTACCTGGCTAGATTTACTCATAATATTGACTTCGTTTTTTAGCTTGTTGATGATTGTGCTTAGATGTTTCAACTTGTTACGAATAATCTCACTTTCTGTAAGGATTTGTACTTTTTTTCTAATATCTTCCACAGCTGAGTTTTTTCGTAGCTACAGCATGAAACAGTCAGTGCAAATTAAAAATAAATCTTTGAAGTGCTCCCTTTTGTGCTTCTTTGATTTCTTTTGATCTCATTTAAATTTGAATCTTTGTTGTCTTTAAATTTAATCTAATCGTATGCAAATCTTGCAATTAATTCGTTTTTAATGGCCTCTTCCCTATTTATGGGGCCATAATTATACAAATTGGCTTACTTAAATTTTTTTCCATTAATTTGGCTTGCATGCGAATGTTTACACAGATTATGGAAGTTAGGTTTATACCTGAGTTTTGAGTTGTGGGTGTTTAGTTGAGTTTCACTTACAAACTTCGATCATCAGATAAATCGTTCATCTTTTAGTTGTCAGTAGTGCCGTTTAATATATTGGTTCAATTAGAAAATATCATCACAGTGCTAAAGTACTTTGCTTTTGAACTGTCAAATCTAGGTGTTCTCTTCTTAGTTGTAAAGATGTAGGATTTCGTATGTTAGGAAAATCATAACAGTATCGCTTCCAGTTTTAGTGAAATCTGACCTAATATGTGCCTTCTGATTTTACTTCTCTAGCAAAATCATACATTGTTAAACAATTTTGTAGATGCTGAGCAGCTGATCAGTTTTTCGGGTTCGAATTCGCTCTAACTACTTTGCGTGTGTAGCTCTTCTAACACTAGTTGTAACATAAAGACAAATACAAGGAAACTGCTGCCAATACCAAAATTAGTCGTCTAGTTTAATGCATTGACTTATTGACAGTAATACGGTGGTAGTTCCGTACAAAAAGTATCATGGATTTGAGAGATATCGACGGCAATAGGATGTTGTTCCCTATTTAGAAGAGTCGTATATTTGTACTAGGTGGGTTTTAACTTTCTGGAGCTACAAGCAGAAGGAATTGATGAAACAATCAACGCAATTATTATTTACACAGTTCCAGGTCGTACATAGCCTGTTTTTTGTCAGTCTTGTATCAGACAGTGATATTCCATAAGCCAACTGAGTTAAGACTCCAAAGTCGTACACTTTAGGCATATCTAAATATAGGTGTTACCATTGGGAACGGTGTCCTTGTGGTTGACACATTGAGGCGGACCCAAGTCCGTTCTGTCATTAACGTTTAATTTAGCTACCTAGGACAGATCGGTAAGTTCCCATAGTATCAAACCACGAGGTTCAGAGAGCTAAAAAATAGTGCCAGGGCGGGGTTGCGGAATTAAGTAGACTGTGGAAATAGCGAGCTTTTCTAATGATAATGAAACATTTCTAGCAGTTAATACAATGCTCAGCACATTCCAACTTATGTGAAGAACATAGCTAATACAAAGGAAACTTGGCAAACAACTTAATAATTTTACTTTCTAGCAGAAAGTTTTCTTATAGGCTTTTATGCTAAATCGAACAGTGACTTCAGAGCCCGTTGTTATGGAGTGTGCAATGTCTGTGAGACTGGAATACAGGATCCCATTCATTCTCCGTTTATCTGAAAACCGAAGATAATAATGGAGTACTCGTGATGCTTAAAGACAAAATCAGGAGTTTGGATCAGATTCCAATTGTTTGTGCGCTATCTAGAAACAAGCATTTTAAAGGTACAAACTGTCCTGTCTGTCTCCAGCTGTACTTTCATCGACCACAGGTCAGGTGAAACCGAAGATTATATCTACCGGAAGTATTGTGTTCTCACAACTTAGTAATTAAGGCCGAATAGAGTAGAAAAACAGCTTTCGGCACGAAGAAGCTCCCTCAGTAGTTATCTTGTGCTCATCATTTAAAGGGGATGTACCCTTTGTACTAGTTAATAGTTCCAGAAATGAGACAGCTGCTAATAACCATAGCGCCCCCAAATGCCCTGGTACGGCCGAGAGTGGGGATAGTCCGCTCTCCTTCTCGAAATGCCCCCACATGGCCAGCGAGTGTATAGTCTCTGCCAGGGAAGTCCTACTCACTGCCTTCTCGTGGCGTGGGTGTTGTTTACGAAATTGAGAGGACGAAAAGTGAATGTCCGCGCTTTAACGGGGTTGGTGGACAAGGCGAGTCCACCTAGGGGAGTTGGAAAACCCTGATTCCAAACCAATGGTGCACATGGGCTGCAGTATCCTGAGGGAACAAATGGCGTACGAATCAATCGTTGGTCACCGGCTACCATGGGACTGCATCTCCTCACGATGCTTTACTCTCTTGTGGGTCAGACCTTTAGGTCAAAGGCTGTAGGTGTGACTTCCTAAGAAAACCACCTGCTTCAGTTCGGGCACCTGGGCAGTATCACAGCTCTCAAGCAAGTCGAATGAGATTTGTGTGGCGCATATGTATCTGGTGCTTCATTGTACCAATATTTATGTGTTTAAATAAATAACCATAGCTAGAAGTCTGAGCTACCAAGTGCTCATAAACTTTTGTCAAGGGGTTCGTAAGGCTGTCACTTTCCAATCAGACTCGGATAACAAAAGCAATCTGAAGGCACTTACGTTAGCTCATGAAGTTGTTTCGGTCAGAAAAAACATGTGAAATCACAGTTTACTTTCTGGACAATGGGAAATAGAAGCTACATTATTCGATTTGGTTGTGTAAGCTTGAAAATCTGTACCCTTCGTTGGAGCATTCAGCTTTCAAAATAAATGCTTCAATATCATTTTTCGACTATAACCAGCACAAAATTGATATGACTGTCAAATGTTTCGGGAGTAAAAGTTAGTGTATCAAGAAGATAGCCACTAATCTTACGCCAAAAAGTAAATTTAACAAACTCCAATCCTTGTGTATGTTTTTTGGATATGATATAGAAGTTCCATAGAGAGTATTACTTATATATATAATATACCTTTTGCACGTCTGAACCTATATAAACAGGATATTTGCAACATACTGACTGTTACTTTTCCCTTAACGAGTACCAGCAATAGATTGAAGATTAGTAAGTTCTTTTTATTCAATTTACTTTGATATACAGATTGGTCAAGGAAAGAAATGAGTTTTATTCATCGTTCCCCAAAACCTGGCCGTGTCCAGGAAATCTTCCCGTAGATGTAATTGGTTGTCTTGCGCGTGGGGCTTCTCCAAAACCAGTTGTAATACCTCTTTGGTTTGGGAATAGTCTGTATCTGTGAAACGAAAATATTACACTGATTTCAATCTTGGAGTATTTAATACAACTTCTGTTCAAATAAAGATAGGAACAAATAACAAAATAATTGCCTGGTGTTAAATTGAAGTGAAACCTTGTATTTGAAACTATCCTGATAAGTGGGAGAAATAATGTGAATCCGGCAAACTAATGATTGAAGGACTGTTAATCTTTGATAGACATGTTAGTCAAGTGCATTAGGTATGTTTGGATATTCATACAATGGTAACTGATATTCATTCGTATAAGGTACGGTTAAATCATCGGATTTCGATAAGTTGTGCGGGGTTAGCTATCGTCAGTCAGTCAGCGTCAACGTAGGACCAGGCACATATATGCATCGGTCCAAGTTGCCATACCTCGTTAGCACAAGATGAACACCGGATTCATGGTGGTTAATTTAGTGTTGGTAGTAGTATATAAATTATAGGTTGTATATAAGGATATAGTACAGGAAGGAAGAGAGATATGAAGCAATTTTTATCTCGAGGTTTAAGGGAAGATAAAGAGTGTATACACCTACGCCATTGTGATCGATCCTGAGACATGTCACCTAGAGTCTCCAACCATTGGTTACGATAGTCACGCGGACTCCAGCCAAGTAGTCTGCATCTGCCAACATGGCTCAGACTAGAAGCTAGTGACTTCAAGCTCTGATGCCATGTCTTGGTTTGGCCGCCCCTAACTCTCTTCCAACCATCCCCTACACTAGTCAACATTGCGCGTCGTGGTAATCGGTGTTCAGGCATACATAACACGTGGCCCAACCATCTCAGTCGATGAAGATTAATCACCTTATCAACTGATTTACCATCGTTCCCTAATAACCTGCGTCTAACCTCACTATTACTTACCCGGTGATCCCAGCAGAATCGGGCAATATTTCTAAGGCATCTGTGGTCAAATACTAGTAACCTACGAGTATCTTCTACTCTTAATGGCCATGTTTCACAGCCATAGAGTAAAACAGAACGAACTGCTGCGCAGTATACTCGTCCCTTAATTGATAGACGGATATCTCGTCTTCGCCATAGGTGACGTAAGTTGGCAAAAGTCAAACGAGCTTTTTGAATCCGTGTTGAGATTTCGTCAGACACCAACCCATTAGGGTTGATCAGACTTCCAAGATAAGTGAAGTTGTCGACGCGTTCGACTATTTCAGTCCCTATCCTTAGCTCAGGTGCTGACGCAGGCCAGTCCTGGAGTAACAATTTACATTTGGATGGGGAGAAACGCATCCCAAACATCCTGGCATTATTACACAGTTCTAACAGAAGACTGCATTTTGTCAGTGTCTTCACCAAACAGGACTATGTCATCTGCGTATTCTAAGTCGATAAGTGAACCTCCCGGTAGAAGATCAATTCCTGAAAATTCAGTCGACGAGAGTGTTATTTCCAGCAACAGGTCTATAATGAAGTTAAACAAAAATGGGGATAGTGGAAAGCCTTGACGGACACCACTTGAGGTTGTAAAATCATATGACAGTTCGCCATAAGCTCTCACTTGATTGGTAGCGTTCGAGTAAAGAGCCTTCACAAGGTTTATGCACTTCTGAGGTACACCTTTCAATGACAGACACTGCCACAGAACCTCTCGGTCTACAGAGTCAAATGCTGCTTTTAAGTCAAGAAAAACTATCATTGTCGGACGCCGATAAGCATGTCTGTGCTCTAAAACTTGACGAATGGTGAATATGTGGTCGATACGGCCACGACCAGGTCTGAAGCCAGCCTGATTTTCTCGTGTTTGCAGTTCACGATGTAGGGTGGCCCCCCACTCTCGATCGTACCAGGGCATTTGGTGAAGGTTCACTACTCTATTAATGGATCTGAATATTTACGTAGTGACCTATGCACACCCTCAGAATTGTCAACAAACGTCTGTTCAAAGACATCTGTAGTCGAACACTAGTAATCTAAGAGTACCCTCTAATCTTAATGGCCATACTTCACATGCTCAAAGTAAAACTGAGCAAACTGTTGCACAGCAAACTTGTTCTTTGCTTGTCAGGCGAACATCTTGTCTACATTGTAGATGACAAGTTAGCTAAAGCTAACCGCGCCTTTTGAGTCCGTAACAATATTTTTTAGATACCAATATGCCGGGGCTAATCAGACTTCCAAGATCAGTGAAGTGGTCAATGCCCTCAAATACTTTACTTCCTATCATTAGTTTAGTGGTTGATGCAGACCAGTACTGAAGCGACATTTTACAGTTAGAGACAGGGAATCGCATCCCTAACGTGTTTACATTGTCTCTCACAACAATCAGAAGACCTGGATTTGTCAGCATTTTTACCAAACAGAACTGTAACATCTGCGTATTCTGAGTGAAAAATTGAATTTTCTTGTACGAGATCAATTGATTTAAACTTAAATGACTAAAGTGTTATTTCTAAAAGGATGTCTATGACGAAGCTAAATAAGAATAAAGAAACTGAACAGCCCTGACGAACACCACTCGCGGTTGACAATTTTGATGAAAGTTCACTAATAAGCTCTGACTAGGTCATCCCTGGTCGAATAGAGCTGTACTTCATGGTACGTTTCTAAATGATGGATATTACCACAGACCTCGACCAACAGAGTCGAACACTGCCTCAGAGCCGAGGAGTACAACTATAGTCGGCATCGGAAAGTATGTGGCTGTATACGCGGGGCCATGTGAATATTTCGAAAGGGACAGTTGACTCCCACTACCCTCGGCCGTACCAGGACATTCGTAGACATGGGCTCCTGGATCCTCAAGCGAGTGATGTATAAACTTATTTTAGTCACTCGCCACCACAGGGATGCATCTCCTAACGCTTCTCCACTAATTTGTGTATTGGGCCCTTTGGTTAAAGGCATGTGAAGTTGTTTCTTAGGTAAAACAACCTGTTTTTGTTTGAGAAGTCTGGTCAATATTTGAACCCAAACACGAATATGAGGATAATTACTGCTGAAAAATTTCTTCAGTCTGCTTAGTTGTTCATCTAAACAATATTTGCAATTATTTTTACTTTACATTGGTCACTTATCCATTCCTCTTTATCCGCATTTTGTGTATCCTCTTTTGTTCCAATAACTTAGCAGCTTGTCTACGGTGAAAGTTCTGTCCTATCCAAAAGGTCTCAAGCTTCTGATCGGTTGGATTTATGGATGCTTTCAGTAAATAGAATTCTTAATGCAACTTTTCTAAACCTACATGTCCCAATCAAACTGGTCTCCTTCAGAGTTCACAGATAGGACAACGAATAGGTTTGACTATGCTTTGCAAAGTCTCGGTATTGACGTCTCTTATACTTCTGAATCTGTATTCATGACTACAGAAGCACTAAAAGTCCACTTTTCATCTGTACATTCGAAGGGATTATTTTAGGTGTACTTGTCCGGAGACCCTGAGGCATTTTCATCCAGCCTGCCTTGGGTTGTCGCACTAAGCGCCATAGCAGCGACAGCGCCAACTGACTGAATTTTTAACTGGACTGACTGTATCTTTTATCGTGTAATGTCTTTGTTAATTATTTTATTTGTTTGTTTTCTCTCATTTGCTTCATATGTACTCCCTTTTTCTCACAATATTATCTATACTTTATGTTGCGCATTTCATTTTTTGGTGACCTGTTGAACTATATTTTATGTGCTTTTGTTGTACCGAAAGTGAGGTATAATTGGTCACTGAGCACATGCAGACAGCTTACTGACAATTAAATATGTGATTTTCCTTCCTTTCATTAATGTCTCAGTCAGCTACAACGTAGGACCATGCACATTTATGCATCGGTCCAAGTTGCCATACCTCGTTAGCACAACAAGATGAACACCGGATTCATAGAAGTAATTAATTTACTGTCTATGTCTATTCCGGACTCACTAACAATGACCGCTCGAAATTGTGTTAAATAAAGTATTGTCTAGTCTATACTCCGGTTCTCTATTCTGTGTCGTGAATCCTGGATCTAGTATGACGTGACTAGTCTTATTATCGTATTAACGTATTATCTTAGTATACGTGAAAAATAATTTAAACCAACCGTTATATTAGCTTGATAGATTAATATCCTCCCGAGCTTTTGCTATCCTATTTAGTAGAACTGTGGTGTGCACTACTTATGCGGACAGAAATAAGTAGTACAAAGCATGAATCGAAGGTAGAATGCTTACCAGAAGAGTGAAATAAACAGAAGAGGAAGGTAGACGTAGAGCGGTCGGAATGACAGCAGGATGGGAAGAATGATGAAGTATGTAAAGGACAACTGAATGAACATATACGAATGATGTATTCATTGTATGATTTTGATATTTCACGAAGGGACTGAGTAATTATGCATAAAATAATAAATTGTTTTTCCCCACCTGAATTCTCGTACAATACATAACTACAAACATGCAGTTACTTTATACCATATAGACTGAGATTATCTTTTTGAGTTTGACTTTTAATCACAAAAGTTTTTGCAAGTCGAATAGCGGAAAATAGTGTCTGCGTTTTCCCGCATTTAAAACTATAGGGTTGATGCAAACGAAGGTTTTCACACATATTAATGACACTTGAGTTACAAAACGTTTTTGTACAGTAGTTTATTTAAATAAAACATAGTGTAGCTAAGCATCTGAAATTAGAAAGAGTAAGTAGTCAGTTAGCATTTGTATGGAAAAGTTAAATGTGATTAATTTTTAGGCTTCAGAACGCTGTTGGACAATTTTGCGGTAGTACATATGGGGCGCTAAGTGTTAGCATAAAACAACTGTAGTCTGCTTTTTTAACTTAGTGAAATACATTTTTGGTGGAACTGAGTATTAAAATACCACTTTGTGTTTTTGGTTTTGACGCACACTTTAGATATAAGGGCAATTTATATTGTTCAGTTACTCAAGAAGTGGAGTGGCGCTCGAACATACAATTAGTGAAAGTCTGAAGCTTTACACTTTGATTAATCCTTTCAAATGCACAGGTCTATGAACTAAGTCTTACTAGTTTATGATTCTGTAGGGTTTTTCAAACCAAGTTAAATGGAATTCGTTAAATTTTGATGTTCAAGGCATATTATTCACCAATGTCCTCATCTAATGCACACTATCTGTGTACCAATAATTTGAATTTAACATTACTAATCATATAGTGACAACTATATGAATTAAGGTGAACATTACATACAGTACCCATATGGAAAAAATTACTTACAGAAATCCAGGAGTCTTTAATATAGCTTGACCACCATACTCTTGGGGATACTGGAAAACGAAAAAGTAGTAAAGATGTCCAACGATTATTCCAACCAGTTCCATCATCGCACTGCAGTTACAAATAAAATTTTAGTTATAAAACAAACCCAGACTAACCTTCCACGCACTATTAAGTTAAATATTACCAAGACCCACGGAAAGTACATTGCTTTGAATTGCATACCAAACCAAAATTGAACAATAACATCACGATTTAATTGACTCCATATATAAAGCACTGTCAGAACCATTGGCTCCAGAAGCACCTAGTTTTATGGAGAACATTGCAGTAAAAATTACTACATGGCATAATGTTGTGGTAACTGTAAGACTTTTTGGCTGAATTTGTTTTCTATAATTAAGTTCACGTCATACATAATAAAGAACTATTGATTCATAGTTAGTACTCAGAAAAGCTATCTATCATTTTATCATTTTATTTAAGCGCATAAATATTGGGACAAAGGAGCACCAGATACATATGCGCCTCACAAATCTCATTTGATTTGTGTGTGGGCTATGATACTGCCCGGATGCCCAGACCGAAGCAGGTGGTTTTCTTAGGGGACCACACCCCGAGCCTTTGACCTAGTGGTCTAATCCACAAGGCAGTCGAACAACGTTAGCAGATGCAGTCCCATGGTAGCCGGTGACCTAATAATTGGTTCATACGCCATTTGTTCCCTTAGGATATTGGAGCCCATGTGCACCATTGGTTTGGAATCAGAGGTTTCCAACTCCCCAAGATAGACTCTCTATGTCCACCAACCCGGTTAAAGCGCCGAAAATTCACTTTTCGTCCTCTCATTTCGTAAACAACACCCCTACAGTGAGAAGATAGTGAGTAGGACTTTCTTGGAAGTAGCTTTATACACGTGACCGCGTGAGAGCATTTCGAGAAGTAGGGTGGCCCCCCCACTCTTGATCGTACCAGGGCATTTGGTGAAGGTTCACTACTCTATTAATGGATCTGCCTTATTTACCTAGTGCCCTATGCACACCCTCAGAATTGTCAACAAACAGCTGTTCAAAGACAACCTATTCACTGCCTTCTCGTGGTGGGGGTGTTGTTTACGAAATTGAGAGGACGAAAAGCGAATGTCCAGCGCTATAACCGGGTTGGTGGACACGGAAAGTCTACATAGGGAGTTGGAAAACCCTGATTCCAAACCAATGGTGCACATGGGCTCCAGTATCCTGATGGAACGAATGGCGAATGAACCTGTTGTTGGTCAACGGCTACCATGGGACTGCATCTCCTCACGATGCTCCACTGCCTTGTGGATCAGACCTCTAGGTCAAAGGCTCGGGGTGTGGCACCCTAAGAAAACCACCGGCTTCGGTTTGGGCACCCGGACAGTATCACAGCCCTCTCGCAAATAAATGAAATGGAACATTCAGCTGACAATTATATTCTCGTTCATACAAGAAACAATTCAATTTGCATTATTATTATTATTTACCATATCGCTAACTCACCCCCTTTTATCCCCAATTTGTGTAACCTTACTTTTCATCTTATGCAGCAGCTCGCTCTTGGTGGAAAATCTGTCCTATCTAAACGATCTCCAGTCACTGTCTGGTTGAAAGTGAATGCTTCCACCGATTATGAATACTGAGGCAGTCTTTCTGAAACCACGTACGCCGTTCAAGCTGGCTTCCTTCAACGTTCGCACACTAATGCAGATCAGACAACAGATAGGGCTGGCTATGTCTTTGGAAGGTCTTAATGTTGATGTTTGTTGTCTATCCGAGACCCGTATTCAAGACTCTAGTGAAGTACTACAAATTCGCTCTCCATCTGTCGCTTCGAAAAGCTTGTTTCACGTGCGCTTATCCGGGGACTCTGTGGCATCTTCGTCTGGTCTTGCAGGCGTTGGTGTTGCACTAAGCGCTAGAGCTGAGGCAGCACTAATCGATTGGATCCCCATTAACAGTCGGTTATGTGCTGTTAGATTAGAAAGTTCCATCAAAGTGAGAAGAAATCGGCGTGAGAAACGGTGTCTTTTCGTCATCTCCGCCTATGCCCCGACAGATTGCAGCCCGGATGCAATCAAGGATGAGTTTTACCATCAGTTAACAGTTCTTCTCCAGAAAGCGCGTTCGACAGATATTGTAGTACTAGCCGGAGACTTGAATGCCCAGGTCGGGCGTCTAGGCACAGAAGAGAGTCGTTTAGGTGGCTAGTGGGGACTTGTTGGTCGCAGGACAGATAACGGGGACCGTTTGCTGCAACTGTGCACAGACCACAACCTGTTTCTGGCCAGCACTAACTTCCGGCACAGTCATCGCCGGTGTGTCACCTGGCGTCCTCCCTCTGCATCCCAAGCCTGGACTCAGATTGATCACATCGCGATCAGCTACCGCTGGCGTGGTTGTGTACAAGACTGCCGCTCCTTTTGGACTACCTGTCTGGAGTCTGATCATGCCCTGGTCTGCGCCAATCTCACCTTACTTTTCAGTGGCCGAAGGATTGACCACCACCAACGGATCGATGTTAGTAAACTGGCTGCAAGTAAGTATCGAGCGGAGCTAGCCTCTAGGCTAGCTACCATCCCACCGAAAAGTATAGATGAGCATTGGTTGCATCTTCACGACGCCATGAAAATGGCGAGTAAAGCCGCTTGCGGCTTCGCGAAACGTCCCGCTTACAAGCACTGGGTCTCTTCTGGCTCCTTACAACTGATGGAAGCCCGTCGGTCTACTCCGGGTGACCGTGAGTTTGACCACAAACGAAGGCTGTTACGTAATGAAATTGGGCAAAGCTTGCGTAAGGACCGAGAAGCCTGGTGGTCGGAGCGTGCTAATGAGATGGAAGCAGCAGCTGCATCTGGTAACTGCCGGAAGCTCTTCCAACTCATCCCAGCCACTGGCAGCAAGAATTCTGGTGTGAGTGAAACAATCTACGAGGATGACGGGATGCCAATCATGGCCGGTGACGACTGATCCACCAAACGAGGCGGAAGTCCGCAAGGAACTCCAACTCTTGAAACCTTACAAATCACCTGGCCCAGATGACTTACCTCCGGCTCTTTTTAAAGATGGTGGTGACTTTCTGGCTAAGGAACTGACTGCGTTGTTTGCAAAGGTTTGGGAGCAAGAAAGTGTTCCAACATCATGGAATGAGTCGATAGTCGTCCCTATCTTTAAAAAGGGTTCACGTTGTTCCTGCAATAACTATCGGGGGATAAGTTATCTTCCGATTGCGTCCAAACTATTGGCTTCTATCATTCTTCGTAGGTTGTTTAAAACCCGAGAACGATTGACTCGCGAGGAGCAGGCTGGTTTTCGTTCTGGTCGAGGATGCATTGATCACATCTTCACCCTCCGCCAAATGTTAGAACACCGTCATACTTATCGCAGGCCAACAATCGTAGTGTTTCTTGATATCAGGGCGGCCTTCGATTCGTTGGACAGGACTGTTATCTGGGATTGTCTATTGAAGAAGGGTGTGCCTGAGAAGTTCATTAACATCTTAAAGGCCCTGTATACGAACACCTCAGGCAGAGTGAGGGCATACAACCACCTTTCTCCCTTGTTCCATTCGAGCAGTGGGGTTAGGCAGGGTTGCCCGATCTCACCATTCCTCTTCAACTTTGCCATCGACGACATCCTGGAAACAGCTCTGATGGATGTAAGTAATGGCGGTGTGGATATGTTGCCTGGAGAACGACTTCTTGACCTCGAGTATGCGGATGATATTGTCTTACTGTGCGATTATGCCCAAGGCATGCAATCCGCACTTAATCAGTTGGCAATCAGTGTACGCAGGTACGGTATGTGCTTTGCACCCTCCAAGTGCAAAGTACTCCTACAAGACTGGCAGGATTCTCATCATGTACTCACCCTAGATGGTGAGCAGATTGAAGTAGTCGAGAAGTTCGTGTATCTAGGTAGCTACATAAGTGCTGGTGGTGGCGTGAGTGATGAGATTGATGCACGTATAATGAAAGCCAGAGCGGCTTATGCCAATCTGGGCCATCTTTGGCGCCTTCGTGATGTTAGTCTGGCTGTAAAAGGTCGGATCTACAACGCGTCGGTGAGAGCAGTTTTGCTCTATGCTTGTGAAACCTGGTCTCTCCGAGTTCAGGATGTTAGACGACTCTCTGTGTTCGATCATCGTTGTCTCCGAAGGATTGCTGACATACAGTGGCAACACCATGTTAGTAATGCAGAGGTTCGGCATCGTGTGATCGGGCGCAGAGACGATAATTCAATTGGTGTCACCATCTTGAAACACCGACTTCGGTGGCTTGGACATGTTTTACGAATGTCGTCTCAGAGGCTTCCACGTCGTGCATTATTTGCCGACTCTGGGACTGGTCGGAGAAAGCGGAGAGGAGGTCAGTGTATGACATGGTGTCGTGGCATGAAAGAGAGCTGCAAAGGGCTAGCTTTTGTTGGTCCTTCAAGACTCCCTGGCTGGGGTCCGAGAGATGGTGCAACACAGTGGCTAGAGACGTTATCAGATATGGCTCAGAATAGAAGCCAGTGGCGATCCTGCTGTAACCTTCTTTTACTTTCTACATAAAGAATGGTTCTAACTTTCTTAACTGAAAGAGTCTTCTGGTTGTACATTTCAGTCCGCCTTATCTTTTCATCCCTTCTCTTCCTACTTTCATTATTTTGTGTGGCGCATATGTACCTGGTGCCCTTTTGTACCAATATATATGTGTTTACATAAATAAAAATAAAATAAGGCTGTTACGTAATGAAATTGGACATGGTGTCGTGGCATGAAAGAGAGCTGAAAAGGGCTAGCTTTTGTTGGTCCTTCACGACTCCCTGGCTGGGGTCCGAGAGATGGTGCAACACAGTGGCTAGAGACGTTATCAGATATGGCTCAGAATAGAAGCCAGTGGCGATCCTGCTGTAACCTTCTTTTACTTTCTACATAAAGAATGGTTCCAACTTTCCTAACTGAGAGAGCTCTTCTGGTTGTACATTCAGTTCCCCCCATCATTACTCTTCTCTTCTTTTTTTTCCTTCTTTTATATATACGCATCTTCTTCCTTCTCCCATTCTCATTATTTTGTGTGGCGCATATGTATCGGGTGCCCTTTGTACCAATATATATGTGATTAAATAAATAAATAAATAATCTGTAGTCGAACACTAGTAATATAAGAGTGTTGTCCTATTTGGCACATGTAATTTAAAGCGTGGTTTCAGGAGACCAAGAATAACGTTCCGTGTACTCGAATCGTTTGCCCTAGCGATGTGAGGTGATAAAGGGACGTGAGAAGGGTTAGTCGTGGAGATAAGAGTGTTATTAGAAGGTGTAGGAAGGATTTGAATGTGATCAACTTGGTCTCGTATGCTCTTACGGGTCTGAGGGTTAATATCACTTCCCGGCTGCCCACACCGTGGAAGGGTATTTCATGAGAGACCTGAAAAGGAAGTTGGATTAGTGTTGGTCTTAACGGCCCTGGAGCGTGGCCGCAGAGCCCGGGGGACAACTGATTGTGGCCTGTCACGCACGGCTTTTTGTGGGAGGTATTTGACGTGTTAGCTCCGTTCTTCAAATGGCGTTACCGCCGGAGACGGAAATCCGTGAGGTAATGTGAGGCGTGACATTTTTAGGGTCGACCTTTTCTAGCCCCTTCCTTCTTTTTGAGAAGGCAGCATCGCTGCAGATGCTTGTTTTCCGAGGGAAACACCTTACTGCTGTCACACCCGTCTACAGTCAGTAGTACGACTTTGCCCTCAGACCTTGAGTTGCTGCTATTAGACTTACCGTTCTCCAATTGACCTGCCTAGCATGGTAGAACTTACAGGAACATATGTTCCAGCCAATATAGTTCAGTTGGGCCATCACGATAGACAAGCCCGACCACCATGTCAAGGCAGCAGCTACAGTCGATACTGCAATACTACAATCTCCACATATCCCCATACTAAAAAGTATTATCGTTTACATGTCATTACATTTATGTAATAAGCAATATATTTTAAGATCAAATAGACCAAAAGGTCTTATGACTATAAGTGAAATATGAACCAACAAAATTATGACAAGCAAAACTTGGGATTTAACTTACGTAAAATGAAGCCAAGAAACTGACAATCTGTTGATCAGTTAAGAAAATCTTGTGAACGTTAACAAATATTTTCACAACCAATGCGCAATTTGTAATATTGAACAACTAACTTTTATTAGGAACCCTATAAATTATACTTCACAACCAATGATTGGGATCAATCCAAATAAACTGCGAGAGTCCAACATTTAATTCAACCGTCACGGTTCAGCAACTAACGACGGAGACGCATGCTTCATTAGGACTTACTACTTATAGTTCAGGCAGGAAACACTTGTTCTCACAAACGTTACAATCCCAACTAAACTCATCAGCTAACCAGTAAGACGAAGTATGAGACATATGATCAAAGTTATCTTTATGCAAATCGGTGGGTCCAACTTCGAAGCAATTACCGATCACTTTCAAACAAGAACGATACAGGTTCAAAGGAAAAAACCGGTCTTACGTCCATTACGTCGACTTAAAACATAAAATGTCACTATAACAGTTTGTTACTTAAAAATTTCGTCAGAATAACAAAACAGGACTACAGGTAAAGGATACCACCAGTGCTAACCAAGTGAACAGAAACATAAATACATAATCTGCAGTGCGTCCGAGGAACATACCTGAAAATAAGATTAAGATCAAATAAACTAACCATTTTCTAATCGAGAGGAGTATGAATACAAGAAGTACAGATTGATTAGGAAGTGAAATCCAGTTGATGGAGATACTGGATAGAACAGCAATGCTGTGATTGGTCTCCATATCTATAAAGTAGTGAACTATATAAACAGCAAACCTCGAAGTGGGAATACATTCTGTTCCACAGCAAAATCATACGCATGGGATCAATAATATTAAATTTACCGAGAAGTGAAAATAATATTGTCCCCGAGAACCAATAACGAGTGAGAGGAGGGATGTTATTGAACATATCAGACAGGTCATTCCCAGGCATGTTTGTACAGTTTAAAAGCAGATAAAATCAATGTTTGTTGAAGTACTACTTAATTTGTCTACAATCTATATTGGAAATTTTTCATACGAAATCCCACGGCCTAAAGAATGAAAAACATTTAAAACTAATAAAACCAAGGCTTTTTGGGAGTGGGTGATGACTACTTTACAACCAGATCAGGGAATGTACATAGAATAGACGCGATAACTTGACAAAGACATACGTGTACCCGGACGTACAACAAGCATTCAAGTTACCGCTTTCCAGACGATCTCCAATATAATTATCAGTTAATTATTCAGTCTTCAGTAATAAAGATAGTAGGTTGGTAGACCTGTGATAATCCTTGCAGCTTACTTTCCATTGAATGCCGAGTTTTTCATTGATAATGTTCAATGATGTAGCTGATAACACCTGTTCACGTAAGTCGTCGCGGACACTGGCTACTCGATGAGAAAAACGAAACCCCCTCTAAGTCTACGAGACCACAGATATGACCTTAGAGATGGTTAGTTCTGGAGTGAGCAAAAAACAAGACATCTCGACACCCAAATCGTTATTAAAGATACAGAATTCCATTATGCGATGGCGTCGGGTTCGGAGATACGATATGTTAAAAATATTCTAAACATCTCGCCAAAGCATTTGAATGCTTGGTAAAGTGGCCACCACCTCTATTTCAAGTGAGAAGTTAGTCCGCGATCATTTAAACAATTATCTCACTTCAAATGGTTCATACGGTTGCGGAAGGAATGGCTTACTTCGTTATTAGTGCTACCCTAATAAAAGAAATAATCGCAAACTTGTATATTTGTCGTGATGTGACGACCTAATCTATACGATTTTACTTGGAAGCTACATCATTGTCTATTCTGACTTGTCACAACGTACCAATCAGTAGTATAATGTTTGGCGTTTCTAAAGAACACATTTAGGCTGGGGATGGAAAAATATATTTAATATGAATAAAAGAGGTAAGTTACACAAGAACGACAACACATGCAAAGCTAAGCCATGCCATACGATCAGTTAAATCCAATGTTTTCAAGTTGATCACTGTTGATCTTTTCCTAGTGTTACATGTTGATAGTGAATCTTCTTTTTAGCCTTGAAGATCATGCAGTTAGAAACCAATGCCACTACAGCTTTCGCCTAACGAGCTTTCGTGTTTAGTAGCAATGGACAACCGATATATCCTGGTGAAGATCTAGGTATATTTAACAAGAAAGATGAAAATATTTATAAATTATGTTGCAATGTAGACGTCATTCCTTGAGGACAATTCAAATTGCATCATAGTAGACTCTTCGGTAGTTCCTCAGATCACCTCAGTCGTTAAAAAATTCTAGGACTCTACTGCTCTTAAAGAATGGATTGCCTCTGAGTTTTATATAGTCTAATGGGTCAAGATCCAGTGATTTCATGAGCTATTTAAGAATTTTGGATTTAAGGCTTTGAAAGGACTAAGTGTTTTGCTTTTGGAAACTTTTCATTGTTCTTATACTTCTGGTGTGAAACAGGAAACACTATATTTACGTACTTTAAATGAAGGCTGATAAAACGGGTAAAATTAGGCGAAAAGTTATGCTGTCTAAATGGTAAAACATTTACTTAGGGGTTGCTAATGAAAGATTTCCTCTAGAGACATTCTTATCACAGTCACCTTAAGTCTTTATAACATGAGGGACCAAGACCTGAGTCTTTTTCAACCTGGAAAGCCTTTAAAAAGAAGTCATCTAAGTTGTATATGTAGCCTGCAACGTCTATCATTTAAATAACTTTGAAGTTTGAAATGTTGTAAGTATGTTAGTTGCTATTACCCAATTATAAAGTCTAGCCAGTTCATCCTGAAGCCCCAACTTATCATCGTGCTTACAAACTCCTCTCCAAAGTTTAAGATCTTTAGAGAAGAGTAATAACTGACGGCACTTGCAAAGGAAGGTCGTTAAAAATAGATGCGGTCTTAGTTTTGAACCCTGAGATCTTACCAGGATATTCCTTAACCTTAGAAAATACAAAGTTTATTAAAAAGTATATCATTATGATATGGCCCGAAACGGTTTATGAAGAGTGACTTGTTATCTATCAGTTTCAGACTATTCATACAACATGCATGATCGACCTTGTAGACAACTTTTGAGAAATCAAGACATATCACATCCATTCACCTCTTGTTAATGAGAGTCGCAGCGACATATTCTCTACAGTCAGCAGATTGATGGTAATGGAATGGCCCTATCCAAAACCATTCTGTCGGAGTCAAATAGTTCGCAGATAACAGGTGGTCACGTAGGTCGTCATATACCAAAGATTCCATAGTCTTTGCAAGTAGCAAAAGAAGTTCCGCCAGTCATCAGTATGAAGGTTCATTGAATCGGTCGCCCTAGAAATTTTGTGGTGGATGAGAGCTTCCAATCATCTGGGACTGCACCTTGGGTTAGTGGATAAGAGGATATCATAACAAGAGGTGTTGTCAAGAGTAAAGCCGTATACTGAGTTATAGACAATCTTCATTGTTTTTGGTGCCAGGTCCATCAATATCGGTGACGTTGGCTACTAATTTTCCCAATTTTTCCGTCCAGCTTTGGAAGATTGCTGATTTCTCGTTTGTCTCTTTTCGGTTTCGCTTACTCTGTGACCTAGTGACTATCATATTGTCGTGATTTCGTTTGTGAACGACCGATCCTTACGGCATTCAACCTGTTAACTTCGACCGAATCTTTCCTTCAGTTCGAAAGCACTCTGTTGAAACTTTTACTGGTACTGATGGTAATGTGATGCCTCCATAGTTCTCACACTTAAAGACATCTCCTTCCTTTGGTATCTTGATGAGTTATCTTTCTTTTTGGTCTTTCTGCATTTGCAATTTGTCCGTTGCAGTATGAAGATTGTTTTCGGGACATTCTGGCAGCCTGACGCAAACAATTTATCAATAAATTCCTCTAATTACAATACAACTGGGAATGCCATTCATAATTGCGCTGCAAGACAAATAATGGTTTTCATTGAATACCGTGTTTAACCATAGCAAGTCATTGAAAACGGAAATAATTGTAGTGTGACTAAAATGACTTTAATTTTTTGTTCGTCGAAGTAGTATAAAGTATGGCTACCATAACTTACCGGTATGGCGGAGTAAGTATAGCTTCTTTAACCCCTAGAACCCTTGATTGAGCTCATAAATAAGCCCTAATATATACATTATGCACCCACCGAGACAAGTAACAGAAGATATAGTAAATCGGTAGCCAAGTAGTACTAATAATACACTAAAATACACATAAATAGCACAAATAATCAGCGCCTGAATAGCCAATAAACAGGTCTGCACGATCAAAATTCACCAAGAGATATTTTAGATCACTTAAATTTCCTCGAAGGGTAAATAGTCACTTCTCAGTTTACTCATGTGAGTGATCAGAGTTTACAACGGCAACGCAAGGGTCCAACAAGCAACAAATGTGGCTCATGCATTTTTGCCGTAACTAATTCGGTAAGTCAGGAAGCATCAGTCAAGAATATGGTCACTTAATATGGCAATCAGTGAAGTACACTGTCGAAGACAGAAACAAGATAGTAAGTAAGAAGCTATATGGTAGCAATGGTAGGACTGAAAACTGAAATCAAGCACAGAACAAATGTATCTGGTCAAATCTGGGTCAAAAGATGCTGTAAATTTACAGATAAATTTGTCAAAAATTGCAGCTCTATATCTACGTAAATGCTGCAAGTTTTTATCACACAAAATGTAACGTGGAGACGGCTTTATTTACATTCTCATAAAAACATGCAAATAAGAGCTGACAGTTAGAGTGCGGTGTGGAATGTATGTAATGACATCAGAATTTATGAGCAGAATGGGTATATAAGTGATACACTTAAGGACTTTCACATTCAGATGCAATCGCCGTCGTAGGGTGTGGGTCGCCAGTTATCTCCTGGTTTCGATGGAGAACATTTAATTATTCGACCGTAACTGATTCTTATGGAGGGACCAACTGAAGTAGTATAGAAGAGAGATTGATCAAAATGCTCATAAGTCCCATTATTCCGACTAATTAGTCATACGTTTGGCTCTAGATAACCTTAGAAGGGATATCTGAGTCAGTCTCAGCAAGCGCGAACTCGTAAAATGTTTAGAAGCTGGGCATTACACTGACTGTTAGCGAACCGAAATCATGTGCATACCAATCGTCACTAGCCTTTTCGCCGTCTATCCTTCTGATTTTTCATCAGGGGAAAATCGCTGGTCAGTGTTTTCTAATTCTACCAAATCCGAGACATCTTCGACTGTATCTTTTATTGCTGCCCATTTTACCAATATATGTTTCAGTCCTGAAGGGACCTATATTCATGACTTTCAAAAAACGATACTCGTTGAGTAAGATCTTATAAATAAACTATCGCCAACATGACATAGGGAAGCGAGTTGAAGTAAACAACCTGGTCCACACTGGCTCGAATGATTAGGCTTCGACAAAGAAGCCACTTTGATTTTACCACAGAACCAAATAAATAGTCTTTGAATCTGTTACAGAATTGATTGGAGCTTGATCAACGAGCGATCGGTGCTAACTGGACAGAGAGGTTCCATCGAGCCGGGTGCAATCACTATCACAGAAACTAGAGTGATGCATTCTGTAAACAATAAAGAAATTGATTTCGAAATTTTCACATTCGTATGAGCCTACAGAATCCAGGAACCTAAAAAAAGCCAAGCTCTATTCATTAGAAGCACTGTCCAATTTGTCGTTGTTGATATAATATCCCGAGAGAATGGAAAATGGAAATTGGTAAGTTGCCTCTTGAACTGCAAGGCTGAAAAGTTGCCGATTAGCTTGTTCTGCTTAAGTCTAAATTGTAAGGTGACGAAGTCTTGCTGGACGGTTTCAACACTTGGTCGATGTTTGACCCAATGAGACTTTAATGTACCCATGGTACATCCCATATTCATCTATTGTGAGGATGACATCTCAAAAGTCCACCATATGCCATCCCTA